TTACCAATTTTTTTTTTATATTTCCCTACAATGTCTAAAAGAAAAAAATAGGTAAATTATTTTAAGTGCTGAAACTTTATTGCCACATAATTGACTCAAAAATGTAATGAAGTCCCGTCTCTACTTTTTTAAGTCTAATTGTGCATAGGAACATTTTACATATTTTAGTGAAAACGGAAATTGTTCATTGATTTCATCTTTGAAAATGCTGCTGTCGTCTTTAGTTATCTTTTTTATTTGTCCTACATGCAAGATCTTGTCACTATCTAAAAGTTCTGTGAGTCCTTTTCAGATTTATGTGTTTCCTTTGATAAACATTGGATATTTTAGTATCATGCCAAGTCTCATGATGTATTTATTTTACAAAAGTAAAGCAGAGATTGGTGTGGATGTCAGTGAAAAACATTGATTCACCGGAACTAATTCATTGTTTTCTTGCCAGCTGACTATAATGCAGGACATTATAGTTAATTTTTCACATCCAAATGTAAACATTAACAGAAAAACAGGGAGGTTTGTGGAAATGTGGAGGAGGATGGGCCGTCAAATGAAATTCTGCTTTGGGCCTCGTTGAATTTTTGGTCGGCTCTGAAAACACACGCACAATCAGCTGGTGAAGTTTCGGCCTGTGGTGGGTTATTTTCAACACAACTTCTCTAAAAAAATCTCTGCCACTCGACGTATTTCCACGAGTGTTTTAAAAGTAAAAAGAAAAGCAATTTGTTAGAAAGGGTGTGTCTGTAGCCTCTCCTGAGACAGAAAGGAAGCGACACATGACTAAAGCAATCATCTGCTGAGTGTTGTGATAGAACTGCTGAAATAAGTTTCTACCTTCAAGAGAAATTCTTTCCCAGCTGTGCGGATCTCGAACTGTCCCTCTTCCCCCTCCACGTCGTACATGAAGCAGACATCGCCGATATCAATGTGTCCGAGAGGCAGGGCATCTTGGGGAGTCTTGAAATAATACAAGTAACATTTCCTCGGGTCGTACACGAACCACCTCAGTTTGTAGCCCCTGAGAGGCCCCTTGCCGGAGAGTTTGTTCAAGTAGCCGCACAGCTTGGAGGCCTGCTCCTTCGCTCCCTCCACCTCGGCCACATCTAGAGACTTGAAGGACAGCAGCCGTGACGTTGTGCAGGAGCTCTCCCCGCTGCCATCCTCCTCTTCGTGCATCTTTCTTAGACGTTTCTTCTTCTTTTTGCAGCCCCACAGATGGCAACTCCTGGGTCCATCCGCATGACTGTTTTCCCCTAGAAAGGGGATGCTGGGAAATGTAGTTTGAAGTAGTTGTGACGTGTTAGTGAGAGGTACGCGCTCGCAGAGGGCTGTGCTACCGAAAAGCGCCACAGGGAGATGCTGTTTAATAAGGCAAGGAAAATAAAGCGACGGGGCGGAAACAGAGGGTAAACCCTTCTCTACTTTGTGTGAGAGATTAAATTTGGAAACTAAAGTTGATCTTTTATTTGAAAATGAGATATAGTCTCATTTTCAAGTAAAATGTTTCCAACCTCAGTATAAGTTTGAGCTTAACTTGTCCTCTAGATTTGGAGGAAATGTTAATCTACAACTTTTAGAGATCCATCATACCCAAGAAATCTCTTGAATTGACTTTTGTAACTGATTGTAAAAGTGCATAATTCCTATTAGGAACATCTACATGCAACTGGAGGCTCCTTTACCTGAATACGTTAATAGTCCCCCTAACAAAAACATGTCAGGGTCACCTGTTGCTTAAGTTGCATATTCACCATTAGCCTCAGTGCCTACATTTATCTAATACTTTAATTGTGTAGCTTTCAACACTATTTTATAGTTTTGCATTTAGGTGTTTTCATTAGTCAGGTGAATGAATGGATGTTGAATTGATGTTTGACAGTTTATATCTAGTGAATTAACTTGGCAATTGTTTTCACAATACCCATTATCTAAATGTATGTTGAATCTTTAAAATTGAAGGTCAACTGAATGACTGACAGGATAACATAGAACAATTCTCACGGTGTGAGCCAGATCTAGTAAGTTATTTTTTGTTTTATTTTTTCCACATATTCTTAGTATGTATGTTATGCATTCTAGTCATAAAAATTGCTATGAAAAAACAAACTAAGTGATAAGTACAAAATGGATATATTTTCTGCACATCATGTTTTCCCTTCTCCCACACTTCTGCAGCACCTGCATTGTCATTCCATCAATCACATGACAGAAAATACAGCTGCAAAACACAAAACATAAGGTATACACATGATAAAAGATAATTATGACGTCAAAAATTTCTTACATTGTGAACAGAACTGTAGTGGTATTTATAATTGATCTCTTTCCTTCTTGTAAAACCTTCAGCTGAAGATTAATGCTGCTTTGGAATAGATTTATTCATATCAAAGCTGCAATCTCTGATGTGGGCGTATACTCAATGTATGTATTTCACTGAATGACTCATAAGAGGAGAAGAATGAGAGTTCAAGCTGCCGGAACTCACTGTGAAGGTGAAACAAAAACACACTTAATTTATTCAGATGATTAATGGGTATAAACCTGTTGTACTAGGGTGTATGTGGGCCCCAGTACAGTGAGTAAACAGTAGGTGATTAGTGTTATGCTGGGAAATACACCTGTTGTTTTTCCCATTTTGAACCAGCGCTTTACAGTGAAAACCCCCAAACCATCTGTCCCTAATTAAAAGTTCCGATAATCCTCTGGTAAGATTTATATTCTAGCTACTTAGGAAAGCTTAAAGAATTCAGGAGGTTGTTTATTTTACCTCGAGACATGAAAAGCAGACAGACGGGATGCGGTTCAGTTGCTGTGACATTTTATGGGCGTCAAATTGTGACCTTTCAAGGATACACATCCCCCCTCTGAGAGGTGGGCTGTCATAAAACCACTGTAACCAAAATAGTTCAAACAGCTTCAAGAATGTTCATTTTATTTTTAGGAACCTTTTATATTCATTTTTAATCAGTTGATTTTTGACAAATCTTTTGCATAGCAATGTTTGTTCTAAGTTTGTTCTTTTCAAAGATGGATACAATGATAAGGATTGACCTCAAACCTCACATCTCCCCCAGAGGAGTGTGCTATGAATCACAAAGTGCTGTAAAACAGTCTGCACTGCTACCAGCATGTTAAAATTATAGGCTATGTTACTGTAGTAGTCGTTAGTCATACGTGGAACATAAGATACAGTTACTGACTTGATACTTTTCTTCACGTGTAACATAAACACTAATAATATCACAAGAAAATATGAGACCAGAATCAATTTAAGAAAATGTTTAAATAAAATTATTCTCTTATTATTGTCAGAAAAATGAGAATAATATACAGTACCAAAAAATAATCTTGTTACAAATCATTGCTAATAAATGACACCTGGTTTAATCCTGACAAATGGCCTTTAGAAATGGTAACAAGAAAATAACCTTAAAACCTTCATAACCATACTATCAAAAAAATTACTGATACCATACTTAACAAAATAACATGAATAAGTCATAAACCAATCATATTCAGAAGTTTGTTGCAACAAGAGAATTCTCTTTTAGAGACATTGTAAAGAACATCTGAAGAAGAAAATAAAAAATGTGTTTTTATTAAAATAACCAGTACACATAGGCTGCAAAAGCCTTTAAATGAGCTCACTGCAAATAAATGCACCATTAAAAAAAAAGCATGGTGAAGCATTAATACAGAACGTTTGTAAGAATCTGTGAAATGCTTTGGGGATAAAATTAGGTTTGATGAGATCCAAGTTTATTTCTTTCTGTTTATGTTCTGTGGAGGAACAGCACTGAACATCATCTCCAAACAGTCTCCAGAGCCTTTAAAATTTGAAGAATTTGTGTGGAGAAAAAAAAAATGGGTCAACATTGCTCCACTGTAAGCAAGTACAGTAAAAACTATTTTCTTTCTTGTAGATTTATTTTGTTTTTACTTTTTAACACTTGCATGCAACTGATCATCATATCATTTTAATATTAGACAACATAAGTAGCAGGCAAAATGCATCCCTAAATTAAACTAAGGTCATAAATTAATTAATTCAGAAAAAACAAACTATCCGAGCTACCTGCATCCTATTTGAAAGATGATTTATGCCTAAACGTAATGACTAGTGGTGCTACCTTTAGCGCAACATCAAAAGTGTTCACAATAACTGCTGATGAGTACTTAAAATTGAGGAATTTGGACCCGCTTTTTTGTACAGAATTATTCTACTGTAGCCACCCTAGAATACATTGAAACAACTGCATGTTTAAGGTCATACCACAACCTCCAAACTGTGTTTAAGTTCAGACTTTGACTAGACCACCCAATGTCAATACCTCCATTAGAAATATAGTTAGCAAGAAAATTACTGACGTGTTCAATACTTATTTTCCCTACTACGGGAGTAAAAGTGCTCGAGTTAAGTTGCCATTGTAGAAGCAAAGTTAAATCATGTGTTATTTTGTTCTCCATGACACAGAGTATTTCTGCCTTTTGGCTCTCCCCCACTGGGACTTCCTACCGTGCTTTACAGAGCTGAACCTAAATGATTCATGACAACAGTCAGAGCCATGGGGGGAATGAGTTATGCTTTTTTATGAGAACCTCAAAAGCAGACCGGGGAAAATGTCTAGTCTTTTCAGAAGCTTATTAAGCCCCATTGAAAACATATCAAACCTTCCTAAATATTTCCATCCCTCCATCTGTTTAGTCCTTCCTTACAAACTTGATCTGAATTCACAGCACCCCCCTGAAAAACACAGAAAAACACACTGACGCAACTTCTCATCCGTCACTACGGTAATCAGACGCTCCATGGGTAAAACATCTCCCCCCTTTCAAAGCAATGCATACGTTTGCTCACAAACCACTACATGTTACTTTCCGTTTCTCTTCAGGAAGCGTTTGCTTTGTTCAACCCTCAGCTCTCTTTGTTATGCAAATGACTGCCATGCTGTTGCTGAGTACCTCTGCTTTCCAGACCAGTGGAAAAATGTGTGTAATTGTAAATGTCATCTGTCTATATCTCTCAGTGTGGGGTCACAATCAAACCATTTTCAGTTGGAGATTTCAGAAGTTCAGAAGCTGACAGGAGAATTTTGTTTGCTGCAATGACAAGGGGTTCAAATCATACACTGGTAACCTTAAGGACAGGTATGTACTTCACTCACTGAGAACTATTTTACTGGAACACAATGTGAGCTTTACAGTGAATTTTTATTCATTTTCTTCAGGGATTGAGAGGAGCTGTTGTGCACTGTGTCAACAACAGAAAGCCAAATCTGAAAATATTTGCTACTTTTCACACTCAAGACAGAAGGAGAACTATCAGACGAAGACTCCCTGCATTAAGACACGTGTGAAGTTTTGTTTCAAGGTAAGAAATAAACTTGTCACTAGCAGCTTAAAGTTCATTTATGATTTAGCTATTTTAACCCGCCTGTATATATTACATCAGTTTTGTGAAAGGGTGATATAGGTCAGGCCTTTTCTATTTTAGGATATTTAACTATTGGTTAATGCTATTAAATTCTATATATAAACAGTAAGCAAATTGTGTACCATAATAGACAGGATGGGTTTATTTTTTCCCCTGTGACGTAGTCATGTAAAAAAAAAAAAAAAAAAACATACAACAAGAACATTGTGCTGCATTCAGGCTTTGAATGACGCCTCCTGGAAAATAAGCAAATTAGATTGTTAAAATACCGACTTGCTCTGAGCAGTGGGGAATAAATCCTGCTTGTGCTCATTGGACACCTGTGTTACTTTGAACAGGACAGAGTAAGGATGGAGCAAAGGGAGCCGACTATGGATCCTGCTGCTGAAGTTGCGGAGGGGAGGTTTAGAGAGTTGGCCACCAAGTGGTTCATAGATTCTCAACTGCCTCTTATTGTCAACAATGGCCTTTTCCCCACCTGGTTCCTGGGCTTCATCAGCAGAAAGTAAGTATTCACAGAAGATGTCCTGTTATTTTGCACATTTCACACCCATGTGTAATGTAAACTTGTTATTTTTAACAAAAGATTCTTGGTATTACTATTAGCTTTGTGTTTACATGCATGTTTAATTCTTTGATAGGTTTTAAATTGTAAAACAATAAAAATAAATAGAAGCTCAGAGAAGCAGTTATGTCCATACAAGCCACAGACATGTTATCTGTGATGGAAAGTGTCCACTTTACAGTACGCCCACATTCACTTTTTGCCCTTTCTTCTGGCAGACACTACACTCCTACATAAAAAGTATGTGGGACAATTACTTAAGTACAACCAGCGTCAGCTATTTCGAAAGGGCATATTGCGGAATGGGTTTTTCCTTTAAGACAGTGATACTTCCTAAGTGGAAATTTTTTGAAAGTGCTTTACTCTCCCAGAAAAAAAAAAAATTAAAATGTGTTACAAATGGGCTTAAAATTTGTCTTGGATTTTCACACTGTTCTTGGTCTGTCTACAGAGATGTTGAGGACATGCTTAGAGAAAAGGACCTTGGCTGTTTCCTGATTCGTCTCAGTGATAAAGCTATTGGATATATTCTGTCGTACAAGTGAGTACTGGTTTACTCCAATAAACCTGGTTTATTTATTTTAATTTTTTATTTTAAGAAGATTTTTTCTATAAAAGATAACTTCCTCACAAATTAACCCTGCTTCTTGGAATACTAAACAATACAAACAAGTAGCACCATAAACATCTCATCAAATATGCCTTTATTTTTAGCACTCCTTCCAAATCTTAGAAATTTCCAATGTAATTTTTTCAATGGTCACTTTTACCATTACTTAAAAAGTTCAAGTTATACATATAGTCTAATTGCAACAGCTTTCTAAAAATATCTTGTTTTTCTTTTGCAGAGGCAGAGATCGGTGTCGCCACTTTGTGATAAGCCAGAGCGAGACGGGACGGTTTATAGTGTGCGGAGACACAGAGGGACACAACACTTTGTTCGACCTAATAGAACACTATAAAACAAACCCTATTGAGCCCTTTGGAGAATATCTGACATCTCCATGCAACGTGAGTTTTTCACTCATTTATTTTTTTTTTTGAAGAAGAAGAAGAAGAAGATTTGATCACTGTCCTAACTTGTGTTTTTGTTCTTGTAGGATGTCAATGAGGACCTCTATGATATCATCCAGGTCAGCCCCAAAGAAAAACCGGCTGCTCCTCTCAGAGCAGCCAAGAAAGTACGTAAGCAGCAAATGAACTCAGCCACAGAGCAGGCACCAAGGACTCGAGAGGTGAGTCCAACAAATAAAAAAATAAAAGCAACATAAATATATATTTTCTACACTGTTATATTCTACCAATATTTTCTGTATGAATCGTAAGACATGAATATATACTTTTGACTTCTATTTATTTACATTCTTGTCAACTTCATTGTGTTTCAGTATTGTCTTTAATTGTGAATTTATGAGAAGAAAACTGCAATTTCATTGTTGTTTTTATTATGACAAATCTCTCTTGATCTAATTATATACTAACTTGTTTATCTGGAAACAAAAAAAAATTACACGATGGGCATCTTTTCAAATAAATGTTTTTGTCTTCTTAAAAATAGGAAGCGCCACCTTTGCCACGGAGGACCAGGCATGGTGAGAGCAACCCCGTCAGTGAGAATGATCGGGTTCTGTATGCTCAGCTTAGGAAGCAAACATCTAGAGCCCATTACACCTCCAGGGACAAGTCCCCCAGCTCAAATCAAGGCAAAGTCGAGAGGCTGAACACTAAAGAAAACAGCAGCAGGTGTAGTCCTTTATCTGATCCTGAATCTCTCTACTCTGAGCTCAACGCGCTTGACAGCAAGAGCATGTCCCTGCCTCTGCTGGACAACATCTCTGATGGCGAGCAATGTTATAGACTAAGAGTACCTCCTGACACACCGCCACGACTTTCCCCGAGGCCAGTCCGGCAGGCCTCCGGCGGCATCTCGCAGTTAAACAGCAGCCACAGCCTGGAGGGCCTGAGCGACCACTCGGTCTATCATCTGGCTGGCAGCCACAGCCCAACAGCATCTGAAACTGCATCATCCACAGAGCAGCTCGATGATTCCCTGTATGCTGAAGTCTCCATCGAAGCCCCTGTCATTGACAACGACAACACTTATGAGATCCTCCCCAACCACGAGGAGCCCATCAAGCCCAAAGCCAACAGTAACACTCAAGAGCGTGGGGAGGAGACCAAACGCAAATGTAACCATGTATCCTGGGGGATAAAGGTGAGTTGCAAGCTTTTCTTTCAGTACTTCTTCATTTATCATTTATTTTGTCTTATTTTTTAATATTGACAGGTTATATATTTACTTTTTCCAGAATGACAAATGGAAATGGCTCTTCCCCGAGACCAAGAGGAAGTGACAAACCAACTAATGAAGAAAAAAGGCTTACCTAATTCCACTTATCTAACACTATTTTGCTACTTCTGTTGTATATTTGCTTTCAATGTACAAATTTATTTAAAACCGATCAAAGTTACCCATGTATGTCTGATTGAATTTATTAAAACTGTTGAAAATGTATAAAATTGTTTTATTAAGCCCATTTCAGTAAATTAGACATTCAAATCACCTTTTTAGAGCTACAACTGAACTGCTGTGATAAATAATAAGCACTAAATACATGTTCATTTATGGGCATGTAACTGCAGAAGAAAAACAAATATTTAACAGAAACTTTTATGGAAATTGTCATCTGGAAGGGAAGAACAATCTGATATTTTTTGTGGGGGAGAAAAAATACATTTGACAATACATGTCAAATGTATTGCTTCACATGAGTTGCTGGAGTTGTTTTACCTTTAATCCATATTAATGAGACAGCTTGGCCATTTGAAAAGCAAGGTTAATGACAGATGACCTCTGCTTCCTAATAAGAAAACACAAATGCAAAATGCTGGGCTGTTAAGGAACGGCAGAGGCATTTCTATGTGTAGATATCAGAATGCAAATAACTGCTGAATTCAAACGTAGGTGAAATTCCTCCCAGTGTTATCAAAACTCTTTCAGTGTATGGTTTGCTCTTGCCATGTGGTGCCCTTACTGTTTAGCCCTCCATAGGTGGCAGCAGAAGCGTTCTTGTAATTCATGGCCTCGTGTGGGCACGTTCAGAGAAATGCAGTGCACTCACTGGGGAAAATTTGCTGAAAGGCGTGCAGCTGATATTTAAAAATGTTTTTGCTGCCATCAGAGTTTCACTTATTTTCAGAGGAAACTAATTTCCATAAAGATTTTTAAAAGTCCACATTTCCTTATGGGGAAAATAAGCAGAAGGATCTAAAATGCCTTTTAGTATCTTTTATCAGGTGCTTTTTTTCACTTTACTTTTCTAGTTACTGCTTTAGTGGGGCCTATAAACAACAATAAAGCTCATCATATTCATGCCCATGTGCCTGCATGAATTTGTGCAGACATACGACTGAGTGTATCTGCACTTAAACAGCAATACATCTGCTGCAGTGTTGCATTTGGAACAGAAATTTTAGAAATTAGAATGTAAGGTGTTTCCCCTATAGTCCTCTAAAGGAAACCAGGGTATGTTAAACTGCCGAAATGTTAATCATTCAGTTTTTGTGACCTTTCCTCCCTGCTCTTTCACAACTAAGAACTGCATGACAGAATGTCACTATTAAGAAAATTAATAACAGTGTAAAGTTGTAGCAGATCATTACGAAATAAGTCTGTGATTGCGCAACAGTGGAAAACAAGTGGTGTGAAGCTGCAATGGATCATTATTGCATAAGTTCCTCATTAAGCAATAGTGGTATCTATAAAGTGTATTAAGAAATACACTTCATCCACATCAAATTCACATAACATAAAACACTTCACATAGAAATGCTGGTTGATTTATTCTGTCCTTTACTAATGTGACTAAGTCTTGGTCACTCAGACTCATGTTGGTCACTCAGGAGTGAATCTCCTCACCATCAACTTTCTGTGTCCCCTATGGTTTATGTGTAAAATGTCTTATGGCTTCATTGGGTTAGCAATCTTTCTAGTCTTCTATGCAATGTGTGAGTTTTTTTCTTTTTTGGTGTCAGAAACCTTTACTCATAGTCCCATTGTAACATTGCATTGTAGCTTTTTGCTGATGATCTCAGTAAAACCAGTAATTATCGAGGCTTCTGAATATTTGATAATAAAAAGAATAATTATAATTGGGAGATAAGAGTGATCTATTTACTGCCCTCTCAAAAGAGTTTAACTCAGACAAATACAACCGTTTGGACTAAAGATTTATAGAACTACCTAATGGTCATACATAAATATCCAGAAACAAAGTGGGCTTGATACAGAGTGCACAGAATCAACACAGAACACTGTGCTCAATACATATGTAATGCAAATCTGTAGCACCAAAACCAACACCTGGTAATCATCAACCATTATAGGTAAGACCGTTTCCTCGTATTCCAATGAGATCGTCTTTGTGTGCAGGATTTAAGAATGTGTTTGAATACTGGGGCAGATCATTCCTGACTACATCCTCTTGAAGTAAAATTATGTTAATTCCTAACAGAAAGCAGCTGTCCAAACCAATGTGACAGTAGATGAAAATATTCATTTGCTTTCTAGCAGAAAAGGAAAATGTCCAGGAAAAAGTTTATGAACATAAGCTCAAGCATACTAGTTTTACACACAAAACTAAAACTAAAGTGCACTAGCAAGTTTGCCTTTGACTGATTCAGGGGGGTACAACCATTCAGTAGGCTTGGGGAAAAGTTAGTTAATGTATTTATTTTTATAAACAATTTCATGTGGTATGATAAATTGATGATGATGATCTTTGCTGATGATGTTATGCTGTAAAAGAAAAAGATGAATATACTTTTTCAACTATTCATTCTTCAACTCATTCATCACTCATTAGCTTTAATTAAGTCCATTTCAGATTTTGTTCTATAATCTGCATTATTTCTTTACACCTCACATCATCCAAAAGATCTGGATTAAGGATGGTTCACCAATATTTTTGCCTGATCTGAGAAATTTTCCATGGGGATGGTACTTATCTTAGCATTAAATTTGAAAAAGCAGTGAATACATTTGGATAGTCAGCAAAAGAATAATGCAACACAATATTTCATTAGAAGCAAAGGAAAAACCCCTCACATATCTACAAAATTGCTCAAGTGAATCCTGCAAACATAAGCCACGCCCATTTGGTTCCTGCAAATCCCAGCTGCATGTTCAGAAAGCACACTGTGCCTATGAGCTTACCAGATCAACGAGAATGATATGAAAGGGCAAAGGGATTAAAGACCATATATGGGGAGCAACATTCTGGATTCAAAATATTTATTTTAATTGGTGGCATATAATGTTGAAATTTTCAGGTAGCCAGAATATTTTTTGATCAGCTGTAAGTCATAATCATCATGGTCATTAGAAAATGCTTGAAATACATCAACATTTATTTCAGTAACTTAATTTACGAAGGGAAATAAATTTTTAGATTCATTACACAGTCCAACATTTTTAAGCTTTTATTTCATACAGCTAATAAAAACATTTTTGATTAAACTACACCATCAGACCAATAAAATATAATTTACATACATAAATTGATGCTTTTTTTAAAATGATTTGAATCTGAATAATTTTTTATTTTCAAAAAGGGTCGTTTAACATCGCTTCTGTCAAATTGTTAAATGTAGATACACTCCAGTACCTTCCCATCATCAGCATTTGAATGTGTGAGTGAAGAGAAATGGCTCATTTTATTGTAAAACATCTTTATAGATCCTAATAAAACCCTATATAAGTCACATGTCATTTCACTTAATTCTATTTTCAATCTGTCAAAAGAGACTCTTTAGAAGACAGATTATTTTTACTGAACATGACTAGATAGGCTTTTGATGCAACTATACACTTTTACTTTAAATTTATTATTGTAGGTTTTCTTTAGATAAGACCACATTAAAAAGAGTTTACTGTCTAACTGAAGATCAGAGTAGTGATGTGGCAGGGATAGCTCTGGTTCAGTCCCCAGGTTTATGAAGCTGCTGACATCAAAATGGTCAAACCATCCATCTCAGATACGGATATGAAAGGTGCTGGAAGAGTATAGAAAACAGCAGTGTTAATTTCAATTAATACAAATGTTTTTTGGAGAAACAACTCTACAATATGGGGTTAAAACATTATTTAAGCTAGCATTACCTTAAAAAATCTGGAGCCCTGGAGATCATGTTTTCAAAGTCAGTGTAGGAGAGTTTATTGTCTCCATCCAAATCTGCCTCCTCAATGGCTTTCTCACACACCAATTCAACCTCCTCAGGAGTCAACTCCTCCTTTGTCAGCTTATTTAAAGTCTTCTCAAGATCCTCCTTGCACAGGTAATTATCCACATTGTAATCTAATAAGGAAATAAATCTAAGTGAATTACATCAAAACATAATTTCATACAATTAAATTGTATAAAAAGGCATAAAAGCCTTTTTACAAGTTGTTATTACCATATATCTTAAAGGCATATATGGCTTTAAGTTCCCTTGGAGCCATTTCACTGAGGACTGAAAACATATCTACAAATTCATTGAAACTGAGGTTCCCCATCCCATCCTCGGAGAATGACTCCACAATCCGATTGCGGAATGGGTTTTCCTGCACCAGGCAAAAATATTCAGAGTAATGCAAATGACGTTAAGCAAAAATATAATGAACATTTTCTCATTTCATATTAGAATAAATTATGATTTTAGTTGATGAATAGTTTGGTAAGACATTAACTTCATAAATCAAGAGTTTTGGAAACAGGCATGTGATTTTGCATACTGCATTTATTGAATTTTGCTGACCAAAAACTTCAGAAGATGCTATTCAAACCAATCTGGCCCAAAATGAAAAGGTATTTTAATCAAAAATGCTTAACTTAGGACTGGTTTCTTTAGGCTTTATACAATAAGATTACGCTGATAAAAATGTATGGTTAAAATGAATTGTCTTATGTAAGTCAACAGTTCAGAATGCAGATGAAATTTTAAGAAAGAACAAAATGACATACATAACATGTTTTGAAAAAGCTTTTAAAAACAATTATCTTTGTTTCACCTTTAATTCTGGCATGTCGACAATCAGCGCTAAAGGCAGTTTACAATCCGGTTCATTGGTGTAGTCCATTGGTACAAGATGTGGAGCCAACTCATGATATCTGCTGTGCAACCTAAGGTTAAACGCAAAGCAGATTGGAACAAATATAATTTATAATTTGTAAAATATACCGTAAGGCATCATTCCCCTTCTTTCCACCCATTGTGTTAATAGTAACGTCAGTCAAACCACCAAAGCTACTACAGCTTTGACCTTCCTTGCAAGGCTGTCTCTTAAGTTTAGGAGTGTGTGTAGTATTTTTTATCCTTCATTTCAAAGTATATTTGGTAGATAAGAAGGCATGGCTCTCTGCATATGACAAGGTAATTCAGGTCTGTTAGACCAGGAAGAAATGTATGCCACACCTTTCAAGCACTGTCATTGATGGAACATTCTTTTTAAGGGAAAGTT